CCCTCCCTTCCTTCCTTCTTTCCTTCCCTCCCTCCCTTTTCTTTAATTTCATCCAATAAATAAAGGGAAGCCAGAGCTCTCTGAACCACGTCTGTTCTTGATTTTTTTAAAAATTAATTTTAAAAGTCGTGCAGGCGATGAATCTGACGTAGAATCAGAGTTGTGAACCATAAGCCCATCCCAATGCACATGATGATGAGGATCGCTGAGCTCATGGATGAAGAAGCTGCCTCCACCGCCCCCACCCCGTCCCATTACACAGCCAGAAGAAGACCCTAATCTCTCATCTTTCCATGCACCCACCTTTTCCTCTCCACCTGCTGCTGTCCTGGTTATGTGACTGGACATGCTGCCAGGCTGTCACCTCACAGCTACCACTGTTCCAAATGGAGAAGCTGAGCTTTCCCAGAACTAAAGTCAGCAACTGAAGCCTGCAGCCCAGGCTGTCCCACTACAGGGGCCCTTACCTCCCTGTTCCTCAAAGACCATTTTGAATCAGAAATTGAGAGGTTTCACCTCAGGACCGGGTTTCGTGCAAAAGAAAGTGGAATTAGCATCTCTGCCCCACAGCTCCCCAGGTCAGGGTGTCCAAGAACAAGCTCCCCGCTTTCTCACTTCTCCTGGCTCCCTTTCCTCCTCTCACTTTTCTGTTGCTAGTTTATAGAAGTTTCAAAAAGCTGAGGACTTTTTTCATTCTTACAAAGGAAACAGCAAAGCAGGTGAACCTAAAACTAATGTAATTTGTTTCGTAGGGACCACCCATTTGGAAACCGCAGGATAAACTTCTGGCTTAGGCCCTAGAGTTATTTTTAACACTTGGTTAGAACATGTGAGAATGAATTATTCCATCTAAATACCGCTTCATAGAACCTATGGAATACTAAACAGGGTAAATGCAACAAAGAAATGTTTACTATTTAAAGTGTATGTTGAGCTCAGCCGGGCGTGGCTCAGCGGTTGAGCTTCGACCTAGGATCCAGGCGATCAGGGTTCGATTCCCGGTCAGGGTCCATGCCCGCGTTGCCGCGTCCATCCCCAGTTGGGGGCGTGCAGGAGGCAGCCAAACAATGACTCTCTCTCATCATTGATGCTTCTATCTCTCTCTCCCTCTCCCTTCCTCTCTCTGAAACCAATAAAGATATATTTAAAATTAAAAAAAAAGAAAAGTGTATGTTGAGGATCATCTTTTCTCTGTTTTGCAAATGCCCAACGGGAAATGTCTGGGGTGGGAGGAGGGAGGTGGGGGAAGCTGCTGCACTCTAGCGGGACCCGGTTGGCTCCTCAGTCACAGAAAGTCCCCCAGCCCCTGCCAGCCGGCGACGGAGGATGCGCCCCCTCCATGCGGGGCGCTTGCAGCAGCCCCCACCCCAGCGGAGACACCGAGGGGCCCGCGTCCCAGCGCGCAAGGTGCCGGGCGCGCGCGTGGTTCCTGCCCTGGGTCACGGAGCGCGGGGAGCGCGAGGCGCGGGCGTACTCACGAGTCCCGGCGCTGCCGAGGCCGGAGGTCTGGGCGTCCCGCTGCCTCCCCGGGGCTCCGCCGGGCGCCGCGCTCTAGAAGCTTCAGCTCGAGCCCGATGCTGTGGAAGCGGCTGAGTCTGGCGGGGAAAAACCGAAATCGAAAGGACACCTTTTCTGGGAACTGAAGCCCGGTGGCCGCCGCCTCTCCCGCACCCCAAGGCGTGAGTGGGCCGGGTGGGAGGTCAGCCTCGGTTCCTCCGCACCCAGCCGGGAATCGCAGGCTGGCAGTGTTCTGGCCACGAAGCAGAAGAATATACCTAAGGAACTAACAGTGAAGGTAGAACAAGATCCCCACTGNCAAGCAGAAGAATATACCTAAGGAACTAACAGTAAAGGTAGAACAAGATCCCCACTGCACAGGACAAGCCCTGACAAGCCAGCCCAATAATTACCGCCCCCCCTGAGTTCCCATAGAAAGAACAAACCAGTCACGCTCAGGCCAAGCATAACCCCATCACTCATCGTAACACATTGTGTTTAAATCTCCCCTTTTGTGTTGCTAAAGGTCCCCCTTGTTTCCTGTAACCAAACCTGACAGCCTGACAAATTCTTGGAAACCCCTTTACTGCAGCGCCTCTGTGGTTACTGGGTATACAATGAGGGAAGAACTGAGGGTCGGGGCTGCAGTTGGGCTCTCACGTGGGTGAGACGCTGCAACTGTAGCCGCTGGCAGCTAATAAAGGCTCCAGAATTCAAACACAAACTCTGGTGGTCGCCTGTCGCGGGTCCCCCCAGAACAGGCAGCCCCTCCTCAGGGCCTGTGTCCCTGATGCCAAGGGGACCCCGGGCAGCAGGCTGACGGGAGCGCGGCCTGTCGCTCGGGTACTTTGCTGAAAGGCAGTAAGGGTCGTTGCTTTAATTTTATGCTTAGACTCCCTTTTCATATCTGACTTTGTTTTCACTCTTGTTATGAACTTACCCTTCCTCAGTATCAATGACCATGTGCATACAACGCCTGTTTTTCCAGTCAAGAGATAGTCACTAGTAGTTTGTAGCATATTCTTCCACTTACTTTTACTGTGGTGGCTCTGTGGGGGACTATCAGGGTCCTGAGTTTACATTTTGATTGTTTCTTTAAATAAGATAATATAAAAATACAAACTCAAACGCGAACATTGAAATTGAACAAAGAAATCATCACCATCAACAAATTTTTAAAAGTTGGCAAGTTCCACAAGTATTGCCTCGGTTTTCTGCTTTTATCTGCTGTTAACTTTCATTTCCCCATATTTGAAAATTAGTATGAATAATAATTCAGAAAGAAAATATATGTAATTTCAAAGGATGCCACTTGTATTAGACTACTGGTCAGAACTGTGTAAACAAATTAGTCATTTGGTCCACCTGTTGCCTTCTGGGGGGATCTAGGTAGCCATTGTGTTATTGGAAAAATTTTGGATTAAGCTCATTGCCTGTTTTTGTCTGCCTAGAATATTCTGTGTTGCTTTCAAAGACATTAAAGTGTTAATTCCACTTTCACCAATATGTCTGGTTGAAACTGGCTCTTTGACTACATGATAAAAACAGAGTAGCAACAGCTAGATGTTAGATTCAATTTTATAGAGTCATCATAAATAGATTACTAAAATGAAAAACTTGTTCCAAGACATCTGTTATATTGAATACAATATCATAAAATAAATCAAAAGTTTGAAAATTGAAATGTCCTCTTTTATTTAATATGTGATTAAATATTACCAATCATATTTTTATGGGAATATTTGTCTTTTAATTTTTTTAATTGATTTCAGAGAGAGGAAGAGAGAGGGAGAGAGAGATACAAACATCAATGATGGGAGAGAGTTATTGATCAGCTGGCTGCCTCCTGCACGCCCCCTACCAGAGACTGAGCCTGTAACCTGGGCATGTGCGCTGACTGACCGGTACCGAACCCTGACCTCCTGGTTCATGGGTCAACACTCAACCACTGAGCCACACTGGCTGGGCTTTTTTCTTTTATTTATTTATTTATTCATTTATTCATTTATTTATTTACTTTTAAAATGAGTTTATATCTTAGACTTGTTATTTTCAGAATTATGATGTAATCTTGATGTTTGATATTAGTTTGTCAATCTTCATAACTTCCCTATATTTGTATTTTTAATTTGGGCAATGCTATTGTTTTCCTGCAACTCATGGTGGTGCATTTCACTGGTACATGTAATATAATTGTGAGGCCATTACCTTTGCCTATTTAAAGGTGAACAAAGTAAAGGTCTTAACCTTGGGATAATCTATACCTTGAAAGAGGCAAATATAAATTAAAGTAAGAAGTGATGAGTGTTAGAAAGTGATATTCAAAAAAAGTGCTTGTGTCTACAAAAGCAACAGTTAATTATATTAGGAAAGGTTAGGAAGGTTTATAGATGGCTTCACAGAAAATTCTTATTTCTGTTGGATCTTAAAGAATGACTCATTTTTGAAAAAATGGTGATTGGAAGGAGGAAAGATATTTGAAGGCAATGAAAGGGAACGAGCAAGTATACAAAATTAGGAGGTAGATGCTAGAAATCAGCCAAGTCCAAAATAGCCAGTATAGTGGGCTCACTGGGAATAAAGTAGAAAGATCAGTTGGGACCTGGATCATGGACAATGTTGCAGAGGCTACAATATGAAAATGTAATGCTAGACATAAAGTGTGTTTGTTTGGCACCAAGTGTATTCACCTTTGTGGACTAGTAGAATTTCTTAGACAAGAAAAGTCTCATTTTAACACGCTGTCCACAGAGGTTGGCGGAAGACCATAAAGCTGCTAATATACCAGCCATTCCAGAGAAGCACAAACTTGGAGCAGTTTCTGTTCAAAATTCTGTTGAGCACAGTTCTTCAACTGAGAAAAATCAAGGACAAAGAAGTAATGGCCCCTAAAAGGCAAGATTCATAGGCTTGTGGAATTCTAGACTTGAAGAGAATATCCCACTGTGACAAAACAGTAAAAATAAAACAAAATGAAAAGCACCTTCGATATTGCTAGGCATTGAGATACACAGACTGAAAGAATAGGGTTTCAGAATTATACACAATGTAAGCAATGAAACCTGCTTGGTGGATTGGCTGTGTCAATATGTTACACTGGCTAAGATTACATCACTAGAGGAAAAGTACACCCCTCTTTGTTCTTCCTGTACCTGGAACACAGCTTAATGGGAAAACTGATATTACAGATATTTTTAATTGGCAGGATGAATATCTTCGGGGAAGACAGAACTTCTGGTACAATCTCCTAGTCACTGGAATGCTAAGATTACATATAGATTTATACAAATTCAGCTTCTCTCATGTCACATTCTGAGAGACTCTGGCAGGTCCATTGTGCCCCATATCCACTCATGTTCAATCCACAGTGCCTGCCTTCACTCATCCACTTTTACATGAGGTGAGACTGAGCCTTGTGCCATATCAATGATGCAACCACAAGCAGTCCTTGGTCATTCTTCCTTCAGGGGACCTTAAAGACACTGTTCTTACTCCTCTAGAGAATAGTTTGGTGACCTGTCAATGTATGCAACTCTCATCTAAGAGAAATTAGGAAAAAACTCACCAGCTCTGCCTGTCTCTCCTCCTGCCTTCCCTAACTTTCTGTCTGATTAATATTTTGCAGAGGAGAAGGTCTAAAGTTCATCCTCACTTTCTTGCCAATGTAAAATTCTGATGTCAATTTCAGGACAAAATTTGATACTTTCTATAAAAGTGAGAATGAAAGCAAAGTAGAACAGGGCTACTTTGAAATCAGACAATGCTAAGAAATCAGCTGCTTGTTCTTCTGACCAATAAAGTCTGTGTTTATATCAGGGAAGCAAAACAAGCTCCAGGGAAAACCGAATGTTTTTGTGAGCTTTTGAACTGAGATTCTTGCCAATCCTCTAAAACCCTTTCCAGATAAGCTAAAGTTCTTTACTGCATGCACAAAGACTTGGAACTGTCTGTAAGAATAATTTAATTAGTGGTAGGTAGAGTAAGAGTCTTTCTAAAAAACAGCAACTTATAAATTAATAATGTGCAGATAAAACCTTGAAGAACATGTACACTAAAATTAATGGCATTTCTAGGTCACTGAAGTAATTAAAGCTTATTTTTACAGTTTTGTGTGTTTTAGGAATTTATTTTCAATGAATGTGAATTATTTTTTAATCATAGAAGCACACATATATGATAAAATATTTTCTTTTTTGAAAAAGAAAATCATTTATACAAGTAATTTTCTGACTAATTTCTATGTAATAGGTATGAGAGGAGCCTTATTTTTTAATTTCCTTACAGGAATTCTAAAGCTTACCTCACTTATGTGCTCATAACTCTTTTCTTTACAACTATCTTAGCAGTACCATGTAGTCCCATATGGAACACACTGCCACCTTCATCAAGAAACTGTGACAACACTGAATTTTCATTGCTTTTGTTCTTTCTATCTCTTTTGTAGTTTATACTTCTGTTTTTTTTACTCCTCAGATTTCTTTCTAATTTCCCCATGAAGCAGTTCTGGCTTTTAAAAGTCCTCAATTATCAAGATTTGGGGTTTGTATTTCTCATCAGTGGCTAAGCATGTGTGCCTATTTCCAGTATTTGCACGTTTGGACTTACGATTTGACCCTTCCTAAAATTTCCTCAGCACCTTCTCACTGGGCATGGGAAGAGGTAGTTAATAGGCAAGGCCTAAAAACTATCCCTATAATATGTGTCAGTCAAATTATGCTCTTTGAAAGGTAATATAGGTTCAGTATAATTAATTCTCAATCCCAATTGAAGTTGCTTAGCGGCCTAGATCTAAAATATAATGGAATGCTGACCCTGTAGGAAAAACAAATTATCAAGCTTCATGTTAGGTCAAAGAAAGAATTTTCTTCTGTGCTTCGTAGGGTAATGCAAGCAGATCTAGAAACAAATGCAGCAAAATTTAGAGCTTTTATCATCCCATATTTTATATTAGGTCAAATCTGATACTTTCAAGTTTCGGTGGATTTATTTAAGATGTCTCTGATGGTTGTAGCAAAATCCTGTTAAATTTTTATATTTAAAATGTATAGATTAAGAGGAGTAAGACCTTATCCAATTGGGGCACATCAAGATCATTCTAATCACTACCACTCATTCTTCTTTATCCCAAACCATGCTTTTGCCATGGTTCAGTGAGTCAGGGTTATTCTAAAAAATTCCACTTTGAGGATCAACTAGACTCAAGAGTCCCTAAGACCACCCCTCCAACTCAAT